CCCCAACAAAATGGATTGGCACATAGGCAGCATCAATGAGCTAAAGTTTAATAACACTTGTGAGGTTGGCACAGTACTGGGCAGTGTTTTCTTCTGTTGTGCATATGGTAATTATGAGTTGAATCATCTCAAGGGCATGTAACAACATTAGTTTTATCATTTCACATTTAATCTTCTAAAATGTGAGGTGAAGAATGCAGGAAGGATGCAGCTTAATTTTTAACCTTTTTAAAATCTAGTTTTTGGGACATGAGAAAACTATTGAGGAGGATGAAGATGTTCTGTATCTTAAGTGTGATAGTGGTTTCATAGATGTATACACTTTACATAGGTGCACTTTGTTGTGTATGAATTCAACTTCAGTAAAACTGATTTTAAAAAGCATGTTGCTTCTAATGCCACTGATGGAAAAATTCATTTTTAGTACTATGAATTTCAAATGAACCACATTTATTAAAAATTCCAATTATTTAGGGTATAGTTCTAGATTTCTATTACATTTGATAGCTAATTTATTTCTACCAGTATCAAAGTACTTTAAATTACTATTACATTTTAATATTTTTGGCCTTTTTTTCTTTCAAAAAGTTGCATTAGTTATTCTCTAGCATTTATTTTTCCAGAAATTCAAAATTATTTTGTAAAGTTAAAAAATTTTTTTTCATTTTGCAATAAAATGCAGCCTTTATTTTTTCATTTTTATGAATTAACATATTTTAAATTGGAATCTTCTGATTTAGGAATTAAACATTTCTTAAGTATCTTCTTTTAAATCATTTGCTGAGTTTTATGTTTTATATCTCAAAGGTTTATTATTGTTTATTCTTTTGAGGCTGTGGTGACAAATTTTCCCCATCATATTTTTTGCTGATAATGTTAATCTTTATGGAAAAAATTTGTGTGTTTTTTAAAAAAATAACTATCTACTTTATTTAACTTTTAAAATAATGTCCTAACGGATATTCTGTTGATTCTCTTCAAGTTTTCAGACATATGATTATATTATCTGCAAGTAATTTTGTTCCCTTCATTCCAATGTTTATCTCTCTCATGTCATGTTCATGTGTGATTACTTAGGCTATCATTTCCAGAATAAGTTTCAGTAAGAGTGACAATAATGGACATCCTTGTCATTACCTTGATTTTACTGAGGACTTCTCTAGTAGAGCTTCATTCTTTAATAAGTTTCAAAAACAACAATAAATATGTGATTGCTATTTTTTTTTCAATCAGAAATGAATGTTGAATTTTGACAGCTGTCTTGTGGAATTTATTTAGATAATGTATTTTTTTCTTGTTTTGACTTACAAGGTGTGAAATGATAATAAATATCTGGAATGAACCCCATTTGACTCTGTTGCCTTAATCTTAAAATGTACTTGTTATTGTTAAGTACTCTTGAGATGGTTCCAATTCATAATAATCCTGTATAAGGTTTCCAAGGAGTGGCTGATGGGGTTGAACTGCCAAACTTGTGGTTAGCAGTCCAGTGCTTATTCTATAGCACCACACCAGTACTCCTTAAATGATGCACTATTATATATTATTTCAAAATATTTAAATATTTTTGTTTCAATAATTTTAAGTATGATTACTCTCAT